GCTTTAAAAATCTATGTTTTGTCTTATATAATGTTCGCTAAAGCCCTACAGCCGGCTTAATCAGTTGAATATGAATTAATGATGGATATCAAACAAAAAATAATGAACTCCAAATAAATACTTATTGCATAATTGAAGTTGCAAGAAATTTCTATGAATAAAATATATTTGTACTTACAATGCGTAAATTCAGTTGTGACACTGTGGGCCATAAACAGCTTTCTGATGAAAATATTGATGAGCTGTGTTAAATTAGTAATAGGTTGAATACATTTCTTAATTATGTCACCAACTTTGTGTGCAGGAATGTCATCTCAAATAAATTGGACACCATTTGTTATGTCTATGCTGTAAGACAAAAATGGTGTATTTTGAAAATTGTAATGTATTCACAAGAGACAGCAGTTAATGATATACAATGCTTAAAATCAGTCTTTGTTATGGAGAGTATTGTGGAGTTGGCTTCTCTTTTGCCAGAGACCATTCATATAGCCTTTCTAGCAGTATAATAATTAGCATAGATTTACATGTCTTGCCATAAACCTAACTGTGTTACTCTGAGACACTTTTTTTTACAAAGAAAGCAGGAATAAATGTTTTTCAATTAAATGAAAAAAAAATTCCAAGAATGCTTAGAGCTATATCAGGGCGGGTATTATTTTTTGTGGGGTCTCAGCCCTGGCACCTGTATTCATTAACAGCCTGTCAGGGGTATTTAGTAAGGCATGTGCTTCTTTGTTTCAATGCAAGGCAAAATCTCACATGTACAGTCCTGTGGGAGACATTATTTTGTTTTGCTTAATGCACTGGCAATCCCTCCTTTACAAATTAGGCACTGCACCAGACTAAACCTGGGCTCAATAGTTAACCAGTGCATCTGAGATCATAATCTGATTTTACAGGTACAATATTAAGGATCGGCAAACCTCACAAAGGTGGCAGCTTCTAGATGGACAGTGATGTTATTTAATGGTCACGTGGAAAGCAGCAATGCCAATATCTGTTCCCACCACTGTGACTGGCTTACTGTGTGACTTTGGACACATCACGTCTCTGCTTTGGTGCCTCAGTTTCTCTATTTTTAAAAGGAGAACAATGCCTACCTGACTGGAACAATTTCAAACTTAATTCATAATGTCTGCAAATTGCTTTGAGTTCCTTGGAGAAAAGTCATTATAGTGCTAGTATTTGGATTATGATCTGAGTTTTTAAAGTTAAATTAGACTCACTACATTTCCCTTAAAAAAAAACAGTTAGGAATGGTAATGGTGAGGAGTAGATTGTAATTCATTTCAGGTGCAAATTGGGTCCTGGAAGAGATATATGGACTAACTTGTTTTACCTGGAATACACCCACGGAATTCTCTGGTTTACATTAGAGGATTTTGTCCGATGGCTCTGCTCACTGTGCCCTGTTTCCTTTTGTCCAAAGCAGATAAATGAATGAGGTGGGGGAGGGCAAACCTTAATTTAAGGAAGCTTCAGGGGGAAGCCAAGTTAATCTGTACAGGACAAACTTAAAAAACAACAAATGGTCTGGTAGCACTTTATAGACTAACAAAACATGTAGATGGTATCATGAGCTTTCATGGGCACAACGCGGAGTTTTACTTTTTACCTTAATTTAAGGATAGCTTTTCAGCACTGACTTCTTAACTGGTGATCAGAATGGGATTCCAAGTATGGAAGAGTTATGTAAGTCTCATGTGTTGGGGCAAAAGTAAGAATTGTACCTTTCCTGGTACATGATTGATTCTCTCTGAACAAATACATTCAATCTGGGAGGAGTTGGCAGCATTCCATCTGGCTAAATGAGCTTGTAGAGAGAAACCATTTTATTTAGCTACGTTTGCTTAAAAGTACAATGTGGCTCTGGCCCTTCTGCTTCCATCAGCGAGAGATGGACTGGTACATGCATTGTGGATTCTTGGGGGCATTGTGCCTCTGTATGGCACAATGTTTCTGAGAGTGTTTGTTGCTACATCTGATCCTTAACATGCAAATGCTCAAAAAAGCCAGTTTTGTCCTTAGGTTGGTCATCAGGAATAGCTCCTGATCCGTTATCCCCTGGAATAATTTTCCAGGAGGAGCTGTGCATACCCTGTGACTTTGCACATTTACAACCTGGATAAAACAGTAAAGAATAATTCAGCTCTGGCAGGGCAGTAAAATATCACAGATGGGATCTGCTAGGGAGTATTCATTTCACTGACTACCCAGCAAAGGAATAAATAAGCTTAGCCACTTAATATTCCCCCCTTTCAGTTCTCCCAACTGTATGAAAGTTTCCAACGAATAAAGTTGGGAATTTTCTCGTCTGCTTGGAATAAATGTCACATGCAAAAACAGGAATTTTCATAGTGGATTATCAAAACAATGGTCTGTTTAATCTAATACCCTATTTCCAACAGAGGCCAGTGCCACATGCCTCACTGCAAGATGCAAAAACCTCAACGTAGACCCCCCCCAAATATGCTTCACAGTTATGTTTTTAGATACTTTGCTCTCATTGCCTCATTAATGAATCAGTGTTTTACTTAACATCAATGTAATCTTTACCATATAGGCAAAATTTTAGGTTATATTCACATTTTGTATTGCTTTATTGTGGGGGTTTTTATTTGATTGATACTAGGCAATGATAGAAAGACACTTTTCTATTTCAGGAATTATCACCTCCCTAGAACACAATAGTATTGTTTCCATATCTCCTTTTTAAACTCTGAAATTTTCTCTTTTCAAACAAAAACAAAGCAACTAAAAATGCAGTAATCCCTTAATATGGGCTGGTTTCTGGGTTGCTTGACTCTATTCCCTCTGTTTCATGTAGTGATGATATGCAACACAAAGATACAACCCCTTCATTCGCATCTTGTCAAATCCCTGTCTGTTTTTTACTGTCGCAAGTCTATTTTTACTCAATTAGATTATAAAACAAAATCACTTGTGTTTCATTCTGCGTGAAGGATCTGGTGAAAACAAAGGACTGGAACAGGAAGTTGTTAATTTTTGGGGGAAAAAAATAGAATGCAGCAAATAAAGGGATGCTTCAGAAGAACTTTCCAAGAACACAGCGTTTTTAGAACTAGGAAAGAGGCACATTATATACTTCTGTATCCTTGTGACAACTCTGTTCGCGTTCTCTTTTTTGAAATGTTATCAAAAATTATAAAGCATAAAAGCTTTCAAGCACTGAAGATTAATCCTCCCTCCCAGAAAGATATAGATTGTAGTCAAATTCTATAAACCTGGTTTTGCCTGCGGCAACATATTTTTAAGTGTAATTCTGAAGCAATATCAAAGCAGATGGTGCAACAGCAGCATTGAAAAAGCATTTGGGGTATTGTAAGTGTCAGGTTAAAATTCACAACCTGATGAATTGCACAGAAGTTCAGTGCTAAAAAGGTGCCATTTTTGTTTTAAAATAACTAAGCTGGAAAATGTTTTTTTCAGGAGAATTAAAGTAAAAGAAAATAAATAATCCATATGTCCATTGTTCCCTTTAAATATTTCAAGTGTCAACTGCAATTGTGAAATGGCACGGTTATGCTTTCCATTTGCTTGCATGAGCATGCTTTCAGGGACCTTCACAGTCCGATTTGTTAGCATATGTAGTAGAGAGTCCCTATATATAATACTTTCTTGAAGTGAGAGTGTGCACTTTTATCTTGCTTTTAAAGTAGTGCTATGCATAATTGTGCAATCAAATGGAGCCTTTCTCTTTGTTGTCTATGTGCTGAATCTTAAAACATAGATGAAGCTTTGTGATAGAAACAGCTAGAATGAGTGGACGCAGACCTTCATGTAACAGTTATAGTGACGTTTGTAACACTGACCTTTCTTAACCGGGACATTAACTAAAATTCAGTCTCTTGGCAGTTGCAGGGCCAGATGTTGCCAATTTGTGGTCCAATTCAGATGCAGAATGTTGTAGGAGAATCACTGTTTTGTGTCCCATGGAGCTGACAATTCCTGTAAAATAATTTGAGGATGGTTTAAAGAGTTTTAGTGTCTCCTTTAGTTCAAGGTGTTTCACTAATCTCTAATTAGTGCCCGGAATGTGATGTCTCTGATAAAGACATTTTAGCACTCTTCCTGTTATTGGGAATATTCTATGCTTACAGGATGATTGTGAAAGATGTAGAGTCTGTGTGAAAGATGTAGAGTCTATGTGAGTGGATCATCTGACATGGCTCAGACAATATTGGCAACACTGTCAATGATAATGCAACCTAGAGAGAAACTTCAGGAGTGGAGCCAAACATTGATTAGTTTTTGAAACTTTGCTGGTATTTAGACTGCTTGTGTGATCTTTGTGAAACCTAGGGATATAGATTGCAGCTGCTTTTCAAAACTCCCTGCCAGTAGCAGAGGCAGATGCTTTTTGGAAAGGCAATCAGTGAGCTGTGACATCCAGTGACTTTTGTAGGCAAATGTTACTGTAGTTGTTCCCCTTTCGATGTTTGCCAGCCACAGCCACTTGGAGGGCTCAACATGTTTATCGCTATCATTCTTTCCTTTATCAGCTGAAGGTTCATGCTTCCCATTCTAATTACTCATATTCTAGTTCCTGGATATACTTAAGATCCATGCACATTTCTGTAGGCCAGTGTTTCCCATATGATAACATGTCATGATGGAGGATTGGGTGGGCCAAACCTGAGCTGTGCTGCTACTAAGTATGCCAGGTTACACAATTCAGTGGAGGGATGCAGATGGAGCCCTTGAGGATTGGAGCATGAATGCAATCGCTTCCAAGACCTCCTACTCTCTGGGGGCAGGACCTGATATCTGCTTCCTTCTCTACATAAATAAGAAAGGGACAAAAGCAAAATTATGAACAATAATTTCACTGGGCTTGACTAATAACTTCTGACTAAAACTAGAGATGCTGGTGTCAGCTTTGCTGGAATGAACTTTCCCCTTTACAATAGGAGTAGGGCTTTGGCTACCTCTGGACCAAAGGTCATAGCTTACATTTAATCTCAAATGAAGTGTAACTTCCATATCGAACAAAATCACCTAGTCTATGTATTCTCTAAGGGTATGTCTACACAGCAAAGTTATTTTGAAATAACAGCCATTATTTCGAAATAACTTTATTAGCATCTAAACAGCCAAACCGCTATTTCAAAATTAATTTGAAATAGCGGAACACTTATTTTGAATTTGGTAAATCTCATTCTACGAGGAATAACGCCAAATTTCAAATAGCTGTTTCAAAATAAGTGCAGTGTAGACACTTATATGGAAATAGGGGGCCTCCAGCCTTCCCAGGGTGCCCTAGTGGTCACTCCAGCCTCAACCAAGAACACTCCGCTCCCTCCTCCCTCCCCAGAGCTCTTAAAGGGGTTGACTGTGGCTACAGTGCCTGTGCCAGCTCCAAGACTTCCAGCCCAGAGCCATCAGTCACTGCCCCTGACCCAGTGGACCCAAAATATGAGCCAGCAAGCCACTGGCAGGCCAGGCCTCCACCATTCTCCAGGAGCCGTCTGGCAGCTCCCAGGAGCCTGCTAGGGCCCAGAGAAGGTGGGCACATTCCTGTTCCAGGATGGAGATCATGGATCTTATTCAGGCTTGGAGGGGATGCCCCCAACGTTCATGATCTCCGCACTAAATGGAGGAATGCGGCCGTCTATGGCAGGATATCTTCCAGCCCGGCCACCAAAAGCCACATGCGAACCCAGGAGCAGGTTTGCATGAAAATCAAGTTGGTCCAGTGAGACCCCGAACCCTGAGCTTCCCCTCCCCCTTCTCCCCATTGCTTCTCCCTTCCAGCTACCTCCTCCCAGGTTTCCTCCTCCCCTCACCCACCCTCTCTCTTCTCCTCTCCCACCTCCTTTTCCCAGTCTCCCCAGAGGTTCATCCCCCCTCAGTTTAGTTCAATAAATCCAGTTTCTATTGTTGAACATATGTGTCTTTTGTTTGACATCAGGAAGGAGGGGCTAAGGAGGGGTAATTGGAAGGATGTGAGGGAGGAATGAGGCACAAGCCCCCAGTGTGACAGACCAGGGAGGCTCTTAGTGGTCCTCAGGGTGGAAGCTCTTCCACAGGGCCTCCTGGATCCTGACAGTCCTTCGATGGACCTCCCGGATGGCAGCCTACAGAAAGTGCAGCCGGGCTGATGGCACCGGAGTGCCTGAGGCAGCTCTGGCTCCATTTTGCAGAGTGCTGTGGTGTCCTGAGTGCAGGCAATCAGAGCACGCAGAGATAAAATGCTTTGCTGTCCCTCATCGAGCTAGGCAAGCAAGCAGGGAAGGAGGTCCCTTTAAGCACAGGCCTCAGATAGCCTCAGGCAGCAGCCACGCAAAGTAACTCCTGACCTGATGTCCTGCGGGACCTGGTTCTGGCTGGCCTTAAATGCGATTCAGCGTCCATTCAGTGTGGACGCGCTATTTTGAGATAGCAAAATAATATATTTCAAAATAATGCTGTAGTATAGACATACCCTAAGTTTTGGAGGTCCCTTTAAGCACAGGCCTCAGATAGCCTCAGGCAGCAGCCACGCAAAGTAACTCCTGACCTGATGTCCTGCGGGACCTGGTTCTGGCTGGCCTTAAATGCGATTCAGCGTCCATTCAGTGTGGACGCGCTATTTTGAGATAGCAAAATAATATATTTCAAAATAATGCTGTAGTATAGACATACCCTAAGTTTTTAATTTTGGCAAGCTTTTATTTTTATCTTTTTTTACCCTTTTGACATTAAAAAATATGAATGCAAACCAAACAGCAAGGATTTTTAATGAATCTGTAAACTCCTGGGTTATACCCTCTGAGTGGAAAATTGCTAATATAGTACCTATTTTTCAGAAAGGGGGGATAATCAGTTACAATGCTGTTAGTTTTACCTCAGTTTTGTGCAATCTCTTGGAACAAAATTTGAAAGAGAAAGTAAATGAGGACAGAGAGGTAAATGGTAACTTTGATAAAACACAACATAGTTTTAGAAAAGTTAGATTGTGTCTGACCAACCTGATCTCCTTTGCCGAGAAGATAACTGATTTTTTTAAAAAAATGAAATGCAGCAGATTTCAGTAAGGCATTTGATACTAGTCCACATGGGAATTTATTAGCTGAATTGGAAAAAATGGGGATTAATATAAGAATTACTAGTGTGTAAGGAAATGGCTTAAGGGGAGACTATGTCAAGTCATACTGAAGAATGAACTGTCAGGCCAGAGGCAGATTACTACTGGAGTTCCTCAGGTCTTAAGAATGATCCTCTTCATATTTCACATGTTAATTAATAACCTGGGCAGAAAAAGTGGGAGTATGTTAATAAAATTTGCCGGTGACATAAAACTGAGAGGTACTGCCAATACAGAGGAGAACTGAAATAACATAAAGAGCTGGAGAACCATAAAAACTGGAGTAAGAGAAATGGGATGAAATTTAACAGAGTAAACTTTAAATTTAGGGATTCATAACAAGAATTGTTGCTATGAGCTGGAGACTGGGCACTTGGAAGTGACAGGAGGAGAAAGGCCTGGGTGTGAGGCTGCTCACAGGATTACTACGAGCCCCCAATCTGATGAGGTCATGAAAAAGGCTAATGTGATCTTAGGATGCATGAGGTGAAGGATTTCCAGAAAACAGGGAAGCATTAGAACTGCAATTCAAGGCACTGGTGACACCTCATCTTGAAACCATGTAATCCTGGTCTCCTAGTTTTAAAAAAGATGAATTCAAACTGGAACATATGCAGAGAAGGTCTTACTAGGTTGATCAGAGGAACAGAAAACCTTATGAGAGGAGACTGAAAGAGCTTAGCTTATTTAGCATAACCAAAAGAGGGCTGATGGGTAATATGATCATTCTCTAAAAATATATCAGACAAATAAACACCGTGGAGGAGGAAGAATTATGTAAGTCAAGCATGACTGTAAACAAAAGAACAAATGGATATCAATAGTCTATCAATATATTTATACTTGAAATTAGACTAAGATTTCTAGCCTGTGGAGGAAGGACATTCTGGAACAGACTCCCAAGGGCAATAGTGGAGGACAAAAAGCCTAAGTGGCTTCAAGACTGTGCTTGACAAGTTCATGGAGGAGATGATGCAATGAGACTGCCTCTATGGCATGTAAGTGACTGCTAGTAGCAAGTATTTCCAATGGCTGGTGATGGGACAATTGATGAGATGGTGCCAGGGTTACTACCGAATCTTCTCCAGGTGTCTGGCTGCTGCATCTTGCTCACATGCTCAGGGTCTAATGGATTCCCATATTTGTGGTCTAAAAGTAATTTTCCCCTAGATCAGATTGTCAGAGAATCTGGGGAAGAGGTTTCACCTTTCTCTGCATGAGTCACTTGCAGTTTTAAATTAGTGTAAATGGAGGATGCTTGCAATGTGACGTCTTCAAATCATGGTTCGAGGACTTCAGTAACTCAGCCAGGAGTGCACGGGTAAAGTTCTAGTGCCTGCAATGTGCAGGAGTAAGACTAGATGGTGATAATGGTCCCTTCTGTTTTTAATAACTATGAGTCTATTCATTGAAAGCCCGAGAAGCGAGACTAAGGATGGACAGGCAAATGAACTAATTAATTACTCTAAAGATTCTACTTCCAGGTAAGATTTGTGGTGTTCTGCTAGGGCAATTGTGGGAAGATACATTGTATAGTACACTCCTCTATCTGTCCTGTGGATAAAAAAGGAAATTTCAGTTACAAGAAACGAAAATAAGGAAAGCAGAACTATGCCCTAGATCAGTGGTTCCCAAACTTTTTGTCATCACGCCCCCATTTTTTGTTTTTTGAAAAACCCTCACGTCCCCCTTCCAAATAGAAGCAAACTTGTTGAGAAAAAAAAAAGGAAAAAAGGAACTGAACAGGGCAGCAAAACTTGATGGAGGGGGGAGGCTGGGTCACCTCGCGCCCCCTCCCCTGGAATTTATTCACTCCAGTTTGGGAACCCATGCCCTAGATAATTATATTCATCCATTACAGTTGCGATTTACTCTGTTTGCT